GGGGGGGTTCGTCGAACTTACTGGGCATACGAGGCCGATCGAGCTCGAGAGGAGATCGGGCTCGAGGGCACGAGATCGAAGATCGGTCTTCTATGGATATCGGTACTAAGTACAGTCTGAAAGGTATTCAGTCCAGCGGTGCTTGATTTGGTTCCGCCACCTACCGTGCCGCCACCTACCGTGCCACACCTACTAAACCTGCCTGCGCGGAAAAAATGGCGAGCCTCACGGTTGCCTCTGCTCCCCGTTCCCCCGCTTGAGATCGGATCTGTCGGCACATAACCCAGTGTCGTTGCCCAAGCCAGCTATCGATGATGCCCATTACCACCAGCAGCAACAGAATCAGCAGCAAACGACAACGATGAGGCGATGAAATACGCGCTAAGGCCATCGTCAATGGCCTCAGACCTGGCAAATGGAGTGTTCAGCCGACTGGAAAAGATCGACCTGCTGATCGAGTGGTCCATTTTGACAGGTCCAGCTTGTGGTTGCTTCGTCTTGGTCATCGTTGTCCCTTCCTTCTCTTCCCGCCCAGTCCGGTCTCAAAAACACCCCGCACCTCACCTCAGTGACCCCAGTCTACGGAATGGAAAAATGGATGAATGCATATTTTCTTAGATGAGAAATAAAAAGACACCTCAGTGACCCCAGTCTGCGGAATGGAAAAATGGATGAATGCATATTTTCTTAGATGAAAAATAAAAAGAATGACCGACGGATGGAGGAGGGATGGGTGGGTGGGTGTCTTCTGCAGAGGCTGTCGAGAAGACGACCCGGTGCAAGGCCGATCAGGCCGTGAGTCGTCCTCTCGGTTCCGACGATAAAAACAAGCTTAGCGGCGCAGTGAGCGGCGCAGTGAGCGGCGAAGTGAGAACGTGAGTCTGTCATGCAACCCACTTCTGTCCGATATCAGCATAAGGCCACCTCGTTTAGGGCAACGAACAAAGCGTCAGCCTCTTTAGTGCTGCTTGCGGTCAGATCTGCAAATAGACATGTCAATGAACATTAGTGTGGATGCAAACAACGATCCATCGCATTCATCCCAACGGACTCCATCGACCCAGTGTTCCATCCATCCATCCATCCATCCATCCAGCGATTCAA